ACAAATCTGCATATCAACCAAATCTAGGGGTCTGGTTAAAATTCAGATTCTGATTCAGTAGGTCTGGAGTGGAGAGGCCTGAGACTCTGCATTTCCAACAAGCTCCTAGGTGATGCTGCTGTTGCTGGTCCCCGGACCACACTTGGTAGCAAGGATACATACCAGGCTGTTAACAGTGATGTTTAACGTGTGATGAGACTGTTTATTTTAGTTTTCTTCTTCCCTTAACTTGTATCTATTTTCTATTTAATTTGGGTTAAGAAAAGGAAAATTAATGGGCATGCGTTATGTTATAAAAAAACAAAATTCATTTTTTTAAAAAAAGAACAAAGGTGAAGCAAACCAAGATGTCATGGGAGATTTTATAAAACTGTGAGGAGGAGCCAATAGAACATTCAAGCACAGGAGGGAACGTGCGAGCCTAAGGAAAGGATGGAGGGGCAGGCGAGAGGGCATCTCTGATAACAAGTTTGTAGGAGAATTCTGGGGCTATTGGACAAGTGGTATAAGAAGACAGAATTGTTGGAATCTGTGATATAAACAGACTCATATTTTACATGGGAAGAAAATTAAAAGGAAAGCAGTGATAAGACAGGAGCAGACCCGAGCTGCCAGGAGTAGGTGGCCCTGCCAGGTGCATATGGGAGTCCAGCTGGGCCTGCGCTACCGCAAGGACTAAAGGACTTGAGAGAAGGGCTTGTCCTGCCCTCTCTGGTTTGAAAGATATTCTCTGTGAGGAACAAGGAGTGAAATCTGGGCACAACTAGAAAGCTACTAGAAACTTGTAGAAAGGCAGGTCATAGGTTATGCCTAAACCCAGAATATGTGGAGTTGGATGACTCCCAGGAATGTAGGAGGGAGGGAAAGAGCTCAAGACCATGTGCTTGGCTGGACAGAGCAGAGCTCCCCATCTCACTGGACTTGGATAGAGTGTGTACCCCAAGAAGTCTGCATAGAGAGAAGCATTTCTTGCCTACAAAAAAATCCAACCTAAGCCACAGCCCCAAGAAGGCACTCACTGTCTTGGTGGCGACAGCAGAAGTAACAGCAGTGGGGGGTCAGAGCCCTGCTATGTGGCACAAAACGCTGAGTGACAAGCCACAGGCCACTATCACCATAGATGGGGATGAAATTCACGTGTTCCCGATTCCTTTACCAACACCCAGGGCTGTTCTGAGACCTCAGAAAAATGGGCAGGTGGCAGGTGGTATTTATTACCAGCCACTATTAATTGCTTTGCAACACTAAAATAATACAGATATCAAAATCATAAAGTGATATTCACACACCGTCACAGAGTTATTAACAAGTCAGCAACAAAAGGTAGCCAGGAGCTAGCTAGCCATCCAGACAGGAGTCTGCCCTCTGCTGGACATAATGATGGTGACTTGGACAAATGGGGAGGAAAAAAGTCTCAGGATCACAAAGAAATCCTGGCTACTATCAGGGCCCGACCAACAAAATGGGGAGACATGGGAACTTACAGAATAGCCAATGGATGGAGGGATATATCATAGTATTTAATGATCTCCAAAAAAAAATCACTAAATGCCACTTAGAACAATGCCCTGCAGCTCACTTCCCTCTCTTCAACCCTTTATAGGGTTTTTCCCTGTATCCGTTTTCCCTCTGTGGATCACTCTTCCATTCACTGAGAAATATGAAGCACTTTCTGGTAAAACCTATTTAGAGGGATGCTTGACCAAAGCAGGTTTGAGGCACTGGCTCAATCACTGAGAAGCCTGTCAGGGCCAAGGCCCCAGGAGGACTTGGCAGATGGCATCTCTCACCTCCTGCTCCCCGGCTCACCTCTGGGCCGGCCACATCTCCACACTCCTCGCCTGTCTCGCTCACTCTCTTTGCCATCTGATGGATTGTATTCAAATAAGTTTCTTGCACATGTGGTACAACTCTGTTGTACTTTCCTTCCTCCCTTAAATTATTCTGAAGCCATCCTCTATGATACGATCTAAGCCTCTGTTTTTAATACTTCAAATGTCTTAGGATAAAGTTTGCAGGCTTGTGGTGCAATTACTACTTTTGTAACCACGGGCCCTCTAGGACCAGTTCAACTGACCCTGTCTTATCAATAGAGTAACTAAGAGTGGTTTTTCAGGAACTGAGAAATGACTCCTCACCCAGTTTAGGCCAGTTGAGACCACCAACCCATCAACTGGGCCTGCACAAATGTCCAATAAGTGACCCTCTTGAGGAAAGCTCCACCCTCAGATCATACTAACACCACCGCTTTGTGAACATGCATCCTATGAAGAGCCATGAAGCTTGACTACACTTGGGCAGATCATCAATTACCTCACCTCTCCTCATCTCCAATCATTTATCTCCACACCTCAGACCTCCCTGACCTTCAACCCATAAATTTTGCCCCAAGCCCTGGATCTGGGAGACAGATCTGAGAGCTTATGCCTCCTGTCTCCTTGCAGACCAATCTCGCAATAAAGCCTTTCTTCCCTCAAAAGCCATGGTATCGGCTTCTGTGACCATTGGGCAGTGAGCCCTTGCTTGATAACACTGTTAGCCCTAAAACCCTCCCTTCTAAACTGTATTGTTTAGTTTCAGTATTCCAGCATTTGGTGAACAGGTCTCAAATATCTTAAATATTTTGTCTGACTCTTCAGCCTCCGTTTTCCACACTGAAAAGTCCTAGGCGTTCTTCAGTCTGTATGTGCAGGTGACTCCATTCTCTGATCGGTTTAAGTGTGCTCTATGGCTCGGTTCTGGTTTTGAGTGAGGAGTGAAACTCACACCAGAAGGTGAGTGAAGACACCTCTGTCCCCCAGGCAGCCCCTTTAAGGCACAGATATCTCCCTGAATGCAGAGGTATAATGACCCTGAACCTGGCTGAGAAACTGGCTTGTCTAAATAGTGATTTTCAGAAAAGGACATATACTGCTATCCAGACTGTTTTATAGAAGCCAAATCTCCAAAAAACTGAAGCCTACCCTTTTAAGCACTGACACTTAAAAAGAATTTTGACTACTTTTTAATTTTTAAAAAACCTGAAATATGATGACTTTATCACCTTATTAAATTGAGTACACCTGTGATACTGTGATATAAGAAATATCTATTTGGTCTTAATTCCCAGTTCCTGGCATAAGAGCTTCTAAAACTCTTGGAATTTCTGAGCTAGGAGGTGAGAGGAGCATCTTTTGTTATTCATAACAAGCCCCTTTCAACCATACCTGAGTTTATGCTAATAAGGTGACTCTTGGAAGGTGAGGGTTGGTTGCCAGAGAAACCAACCATGGATTAGAGGGTTGGAACTTTCAGACCCACCCCTGGACCTCCAATGGCCAAGGGCCAATGATTTAATCAGTCAGTACTACGTAATGGAGCCTCCATAAAAATCTTAAACAACAGAGTTCAGAGAAATTCTGGGTTGGTGAACACAGAAAAGGGCTGGGAGGATGGTGTGCCAGGAGAGGGCACGGAAGCTCAGAGGACCCCCACCCCATACCTTGCCCTATGCATCACTTCCATTCGGCTGTTCCTGAGTTGCAGCCTTTATAACAAACCAACAATAGTAAGTAAAGTGGCTTCCTGAGTTCTGTGAGCTGTTCTAGCAAATTATTGAACCTGAGGATGGGGTCATGGGAACCTCTGACTTACAGCTGGCTGGTCAGAAGCACTGGAGGCCTGGACTTGGGATTGGTGTCTGAAGTAGGGGCAGTCTTGTGGGACTGAGCCCTTCACCTGTGGAGTCTGACACTCATCCTGGATAGTTAGTATGAGAATGCCCTGGTAGGAGGAAAAACCCCACACATTTAGTGTGAGAAATATAGCAAGTAAAAACGAGTTCATATAGTAACACGGAACACCATTAGGTGTGTGATGACCCGGGTCCATCATAATGAATATCTGTGCTTAAATTATTTTATGGCACTGTGGTGTCCTTAAGGACTAATAAACAGTAAAGTGTTGTTTACTCCACCACTCAGTGGCCTCAGGTTGCTACCTCTTTTTTTTTTTTTTTTAAATAAACATTAAGTCTGTGGGCTCCTTCTTCTCCATTCAGTATGGCTCTGAATATATTTGCTTCTAGAAGTGTCTCCCTGGTCTTTCTCTTAGGATATCTCCTGTAACCTCTTGCTAGTTTGCAGTCAGGATAAATCAGATGACTCAAGTCACCAGTGATCCTAGATGGATATGTAATTCCAGATCTCTAGAGTCTGGCCCGAGTGGCTCCAGGCTGAGAACATGGGCTAACACCCGTGCCCATCTTCCTCTACTTTATATGGGATGCTGCCACAGCATGGCTTGATAAGCCGTGCGTAGGTCCATGCCCACGATCTGAACCTGCGAACCCTGGGCTGCCGAAGTGGAGCGCACAAACTTAACCGCTTTGCTACCGGGCCAGCCCCTAGACCTGATTTTCTTGATCAACTACTTTCCTGCTCTAAGATGCTCGCTAGTTCCACATGGATACTGATTAGAGTCTAAACTCTCAGGCTGGCCATCAAAACCCCCAACAGTTTGGTCCCCATTGATTCTGGCAACTTAATCCCCCACCTTCCGCCTTCCTCTCTTTCTATCCTCAGCCACACCCACGTACACACTGTCCCCAGAATACCACAGGCACAGGCTGCCTCCAGACCTTTGTTTTAAGTTGTTCCCTCTGCCTGGATTCCTTCTCTCTTCATACCTGCCAGTCAGTCTTCCAAAACGTCCAGTTCCATCCCCTCCAAGAAGAACTCAGGAGGTTCTTCCCTTCTCCTTGGGCATGGTCCCTTCCTCCCTGCCTCACACCTCCAGCTTGATCTACTGTATCAACACTCTGTAGTCAGGGCTATATAAGAATGTGTTTATCTCCCCTGCAGACCTCGAGCCCCCGGAGAGCACTCTTTGCTTTCCCCACACCTCCCAGCACAGGAGCTGAGAAGACAGCGGATGTGAACTGAGGGAAAGAGGAGGAGACAGACACCTTGCCGGCCGTTGGAGGCCCCACCCACTCGAACTCGAGACTTCTGCACACTTACGGTTTCCACAGTTGAGACCACCAAGGCCAAATGGGCAACTGCAAGTCAACAGAGAAAAAGAACAAGGATTAGTTTCAAGTATCAAAAGAAATAACTAAGGCAATTTACCTAAGTAATTTCTAAATAAGGTGTGTAACAAATTCATTAAAATAAATGAACACAGAGCCTACCTCATACAGGTTTCATTTTCAAGCCTATATCCATCTTCACACGCTGAAACAGAAAAGGAAAATCCATGAACGTGTCTATTCACCTCCCTTGGCCCAAAGTGACACTTATTAAAACACCAGCCAGCCTAAAATCCACAAGAATATTCTAGAACCAGAGGGCCACAAATAGCTTTAGAATTATCTATAACTTCGCCCAAATACTGTTGCCAGCTCATCTCTTAATTTTATCAAAAATATTTTCTTAACTTCTTAGTGGCTCTCAGTTTCCCCTCTATAAAACAAGGATAATAATAACAACAACAACAACAACAACAATAATAATATCTACCTTACAGTTTCTTGGAGGGGATTAAGTAAAATAAGGCATGCAAATGGCTTAACCTGGCACACAGTAACCACCTAATCAATGTCTGTAGTTGTAATTATTATCCAACAGATGCAATTCTTTTTGGAAGTTCTCTTGGCCCCTGTGTAACATCCTTTATACACAAAGACATATGCTTCACCTTCTTTAATGTAAGTCAAACCTCTAACCTGCTGTTGACCCCATTAGCCCCCTTCCACGAGGAAGTGGGAGCTGTGACATCTTCTGGGCCATGGTCCTGGTGAGTGCCTCAGTTTTCAAAAGAGATTTCTCACCTTATGGTCTGTGCAGGGGACTTTGGACATTTCTAGATGAGCCCTAATGGGCCCATCACCTGAGAACATAACTTTGAACCCTCTGGTGGTGCTGCCCATGGACCGCTGCTTCACTGAAGGGCTATGGCCCAGCCATCCCCCTGGATCAGCAGTTCCTGATTTATTTGATCAGGGAACACTTTCAATACTACAATAAGCTGACAGAACACCATGAGCTATAATGCATGCTCGGATGAAAGGAGACAATAAAAAAATGGCCTCATAGAGAAATTCATCGCTGCAAGGAATGATAAAAATTTGATTCATGATTAATGTATGATATGCACTGCATAAAAAAAATGACAGGTAAGAAAAGGTACATAGCTTAGAGCAGCGATCTCTGGACAGACAGCACACATGCTAATGGCAAGATGTGAGTGCACGGCTCAGCAGGGTGCATGCCCTGCAGGCTGGGTGGGGAGAGCACTCAGACTTCCTGCATCCTCCGTTACAGATTAACACATAATAATATCAACTACTTAGATGTGCTTAATATTGTTTTTCCTTCTATTTTTAATGTTAGGTGCTAAATGTTTCCAGCATCTATTTTGTTGTCATAGACCACCGACATATTACTAGAGTTTTGTGGAATGGTTTGGAAAACACTGTTCTAAATAATCCATAATTCTCTCACAGCAGATCATGAGAGCTGTGAACCTGGACTGCGCTGTTTCAGCTCCTGGGAATCACTTTTCCTGAGCTACATTCTCTTGCATTAAGGGCTATCTATTAGCAGCCTTGGGCAAGTCCCTAGGGTATTTATTGAGGGATATCATGGACCACATTGCTCCACTACCACTCAGTAACCTCATGAGGACACCCCAGAGAAACTTCTCTTGGGCCCTAGGGCCTAGAAAGATGGGGATGCTCCTGAACAACTGTACTTATTTATGGTCCCTACCTATTTTCAAAATCATGTTTCTCTCTTTGCCTCAGTGTCCAGGAAGCTCAGAACTTGGACGAGTGGCTTATCTTTAGCAAACATGCAGGACCTTATGGTATATCTCTGTATTGTCACTTTCTTTCTAGCCTCAACAAAGTAGTCATTTTATTTCTCCTTCAACCTGATTTACCTTTTAAATTAAATCTCATTTTGTTATAAGAATTTTCATTAGATGCTTCAAATCTTTTTTGCAACCAAGTAGAGCATCATCATATCCCATTTAGGAAAGGAGGAACGAGGCCCCTCGCCCAAATCTTTGACACCTTTGAGTCCTCCGCTGCCCTCACCCAGGTGGGCCTTCTCTAAGGAACAAGCTGAGCACTCCTGCCTCCCCGGGCGTGGGGAGCACCGTGCTCTGGCAGTATTCAGGCTACAGCCGGCCAGGTGGTGGGAGCGGGGGAAGCCGTCCCCAGATGACCCACAGCTCTGTCTGCAGGACAGATGCCACCCAGGGACTGCTGGCATCCCCAGTGACTCATCGCCATCCATCTCGGCACTGAGGCAGGCCCAGTGTGTTCACCCCAGTGTGTTCTATCCTGAACACTTCTTCCTGGAAATGTTTTTACATCAAATCTACCCACCCAACCCTCATCTGCTGGGTGGGGGCTTTCCACCCTGTGGCTGTCATCCAGCCAGATGTAAGGTCCATCTGTTGTCCTGCCTGCTAGCTGATGGGTTGGGCTGTTTTCACTTAGCTTCGGAAGTGGCCTGACTCCCTGGAGTAATAATATTTCTTTATTTCAAATGGGCTCAATCTGTCATTCATCAAAGATTGAGTGCTGCCGTGGGCCTGGGGCTGTTCTAGGGGCTCTTGGAGGGAAACCTTGTCATGAGGCACTCCAGCGCGCCTTAGGATCCTGCTCCTCATCTCCACACCCTAGAAGGACTCTGACCCAGGGAGCACGGAAGATGGAATGAATGTGACAACAGCTAGCAGATACACCCAAATTGGGCTTCCCGTACTGACATGGAACACAAGCAAACTCAGGCCTTCTGGCCTTTTTAATAAAATAACTAAGTGGTGGAGTCTTAAAGACTCTTTTGTTCCCTTCCAGGAAACTAAATCAACATCTGCCAATCACATTCTATCATATTTGCTGCCCTATCATCCATTTGTTCATTCAACAGACATCTGTTGAACCCCACGATGTGCTAAGCATATTCTAGACACAGCTACTGCTCTCAAGACATTTGCAGTCTAGTGACCGAGACCTGCAATCAGACAGTTGGAATTCATCACGATGCCTGCATGATGGAAGGAAGCTAAGACATCTATGGAAAGGACACCTTCTTTAATTTCATATGATGTTTTGAAAGTCTGGTAAAGACACTATGAAGACATTTTATGTAAGACACTAAGAAGGGTGTGTGTGTACAACAGAGAACAATATAGACTGGCTAACGTACAGCTGAGAATTGCAAAGATTTAGAAAACACACACCAACACACCTCTATCCTCCATTTATACAGGGGACTGATCCTGGAATTGAGGTGTCCAAAAGGGGACTCGTTTTAAATGCTCCCATGCTCCAGCACCAAAGGCCAGAAGATGTCACTGCTAACCCATCAGAACCCAGCAGACAGGGCTGTGGCCCAAGGAGCTCCCAGATCCATTCATCTGAGGCCTGATGGCCATGGATGAAAATCTAATCTACAAGGAGACTGCAGAAATGAGACTTCGCAGAGCCTGGCAACAAGCCCCATTGTTAACCAAGGTTCCCTGAATGCTGCTTCTTGGGTCGTCACTTGACCAACATAAGGTTGCTGTTGTCTGTGGCATTGCATCTGGAAAATCTTTGGCAGCTCTGCCATTGCTAATGCTGGTCCGTAAGTGACACAATTATGAAATCGCTGACTTGGAACGGAGGCAAGTAGCTCGGGTCAACCAGACACAAAGGTGGCAGGACCATTCCTGAGGCCGGCAGAAACTCCAGAGGTGCGGCATGCAGGGGCCACCGCTCCTATGCGCCTGCACTTCTGCCCACTTTGCCTTTCCCTCTCGCAGGCTGCACGGCGCCCCAGCACACATGGATTTTAGCAGAGGTCGCCTTCCCACACGAAGCGGGGCTCAACGCCCCAGTTTCTAAGAAGGGCAAGGAACACTCTGCATTAAACCAGATAAGATGGAATTAGGAAATGCAAAATCATCTTTTGCATCAAAGTGGCAGACTGACACAGCGCTGAGCAACGCGGTGAAGCTGTCATGCATCAGGACCACTGCCCAACACAGAGAGTGGCCCTCCTCCTCAAAACCCCTCGCGGGGCCTGTGCAGAGCTGAGGGGGCACGCTTTCAAAGCCCTTTGTGTATAAACCTAAGTTTAAGTTAAGCTCAGGGTGGGAGCACCGCCCGGAAATGTATTTTCGTCCTCTCCTGGGAAGTCCTGACAGAGGAAGTGGCATGTCACCTTCCCCCTATGTGACTTTCACTCAGATTCCAGTACTTCTGTCACCAGCAGGTGTGCACTGAGCGAGAAAACCGTGCCCCACACGTGCTAATGGGACGCAGTGCTTAGAGCTACGTTATGGCCTTTACGTTGCCAGCTTTTCCGGTGATAGCCAATTGTGGCAGTCTTTCATAAGTCAGGGCTCTGGACTTGAATTAATTTTATTTTAAAGCAGCATTCTTGCACTACACTCACCAAGCAGCCTTTATCTCAAACTGAATGAATTTAAGCCACACCTAGAAGGTTAGCGGAATTAGGTTTCTGCCCTCGAACCCTTCATGAAACCTTTAAAACGAGAACTCATTAATCCAATAACAACTTGGGTAAAATACAAGAGCAAATGCTGATGGCTTACAAAGTACCTCCATATACACTGTCTTCTTTAATTCTCAGAATACCCACTGAAGTATCACTGTACCCATTTCACAGAAGAGGAAACTGAGGTTCAGCAAAGTGAAGTGAACTGCCCAAGATGACAGATGACCGGTGAGGCACAGTTGGGCTCTGACTTGGGTCTCCTGCCTCATCTGTACTCTGTCTAGTGAGCCACAGCTGCCACTAAAAGGTACGGGCCTGACTCCATGCTTGTATTTCCATTTTAAAAGATTAGCAGACAATAGAATAAAGCTTTGGGAATTAAAACAGTGATTTTTCTAACTTCCTTTAAGTGAAAAAAAAGAAAAGGCATTGCTGCCACAGGCATTCCATTCTCTTTTCTTTTCCTTTGAATCTGATTGGCCAGACCAGCATGCACCAGTCAGAGATAACGCTATTATTCCAAGGAGATAATGTATTCAATCCTGCTGTGAGCAAAACAACAAGAACTAGTTACCCCCAGTTTAGCACAATCACACCCAGAGCAAAGAGCGAACCCGAGCCCGGGGCAGAGAAAGGCATCTTCCCTGTCCCAGGACGGGCTACAGAACACCCCTCCTGCTACCCCCCGACCCCAGTACCTCGGCAGGAGTGATCCATCTTGTTGAACTGAAAGTAACCCGACTTGCACTGACACAGCGCCACGCCGTCCAGGTCAGTGCAGATGGAGGTCTCTTTGTCACACTCTGGAGTCTTCCGCTTGCACAAGCTGCCCGCTGAAATGGAAAAACAAGACAGTGAAGCAAAACAAAACCTCCTCCACTTCAAACCTTAAGATGTATGGACTTTCTATGTCAAGAGGCTCTGAGAGCAGTTTTCAAAAAAGCCTGCACCGTGCAGCACTCCTTTCAGAGAGCCTTCTGCACGACCTTCTGCCACTCCTTCCCTGGGTCAGCCCAGGCCAATCTCCTAAAAGTTCACACAGCATGCCAGAGGACAGAGAAACGAAACTGGGAAGAAACAGGGTGCTGTCTCCAACTCCAGCGACCACTGCAAATGCGGCCTCCATGGTGTGGGTGTCTTCTGTACATCACGCTAAAGGACCGCAGGGGGAGAATCAGCACAAACCCAGCACGCGTGACCGTGCTCTTCTCAGGAAGCCGAGACACTCAGGCCAGTCTCAAGCTGAAGTGTGTCTCAGCTCGGGGTCTGTGTGGCCCAAAGGGACATGGCACACTCTTGTGGCAGGGGAGCTTGCTGCCTAACAGACTTATTTGAAGGAGACGTGTGGAAGATAATCTGCTTCCCCAGCTGTCGTGTATTTATGTCACCTGTCTCCCACTACACTGACGGTTTCTTGGGGCTTATTCACCTCTGCATCTTCAGCACTGTGCAAGAGACTGGTCCATACACAGTGCTTGATACACACACGCTGAAGGTGCCATGGGACCACCAGTCACCAGCCACCGCCAAGGGAAGCAGAGGCGGGCAGAGGAGGAGGGCATCTTCCTTCACTTCAGGGCCTTATTTTTTACATGTACGTCCTCCTGGCTTTGTCCAGCCCTGGGCATGTGGGCCATGTTCATTTCATGAATGACAAAGAACCGTTTCATTATTATCAAAAAGCATTCATTGTTGGGCACGTGGCCCTCTCTGAGGCTGTATACAGCAGACCCCCTCTGAGGTTGTATACAGTAGACCCTCTATGAAGTCGTATACAGTGGACCTCCTCTGAGTTTGTATACGGTGGACTCTCTATGAAGTTGTACACAGTGGACCCTCTGTCAGGTTGTATACAGCAGGCCCTCTCTGAGGTTGTATACAGTGGACCCTCTATCAAGTTGTACACAGCAGACCCCCTCTGAGGTTGTATACAGCAGATACAATGAGGGTGCATTTTACCATCTAAGACAGGCTTGACAAAAAAGACACATGTAATTGGGGTACACAGACAGTAAGAAAAAATATGAAACCAACCAGGCAGTGAATGGTAACTTACACCCAGGTACAGGGCAAGGCAAGACTGATCTCCCCTGTTGTCGGCAGGCACCAGCAAGGTCAGCGGGGGAGAGAGCCACACAAGGGCAATGTGTACATTGTGCATTGAGGCATGATCTCCCCTCGCCCACCGTAAGGAAGACACCAACCTATTCAGAAACCAGGTACCAGCTTTTAACATAGCAAAACTGCCCCACCCAGGCCGGTTCTAGTGCCGTGAGCAGACACCCACACAGGGGTCCAGATACCCACCTCCTTTCCTGAGCCCTGAGAGCTGAGACCTGGTGGATGACTGGTCACAGGGAGGTAAGTTTAGGACACAGCTTTAGTTCTCAATGCTGAATTTCCTGTCTTTATCGGTGGAAGTTGGCATGCTAAATCAGAAGCCTATTTGTGTGTGTGATAGAATTTCCTTTGTTTATTGTGAAAAGTTTGTATTTAAGGGAGAAAAATAAAAAATGGAAAATCTCACCAGGCAAACACTGCGAAGCTGGCAGCAGAGAGGTTCAACCTCCACAGTCCCTCATCTGAACTTTCTGAAGACTTTGCCAGCCCTGAACCCTTAATATAAAGAAATCCCTCCAGAGCAAAAGGCGACCCAGGCCGGCCCTAGCCTTGTCCAGCAGCCAGCCTGAGTTGCCTGGCCTGATTAGATAGTTTCTGGAAGCCAATGTCATGTTTTCCTCCCATCCTGCCCATTAATCCAGGCTGCTGGCAAGTGCTACTCGCCCTGCTGAAGCTACGCTTCCATGTACAGAAGCAGGTTCACGCAGGAGAAGAAGAGCTGGCCCAGCCTCTGCAACGGAGGGGTTGCTATCCTAAAAATTCTCAAAGAACATTCTGTCATAAATCCATCAAACGGAACCACGTATAATCCCATTTTCATTTTAAGCCAGGCGATGTGATTCTTCTACATCCACAATTCCCATGGTCTTTCCTGGGTGTAACATCCGCCAAACAGACAATGAGAACTTATGTAAATCAAAGCTGAGACACTCCCTGGGGGATTTCCAAAGACTCTAAACCTCTGGAGACACACGAGCTGCAGTTCTCTGGATACTTTATGAATTGAAGGGGAAAACCTGCCTTTCCAACGGCAGCGTCTAGAGTAGCCCAGCCCTGCCCACATGTTGGAAACACCCAGGCGTCAGAAGCTGAAGGCTCCTGCTTGGCAAGCCCACCTCTCTAGCGCTCAGAAAGGTGCGCGCGCGAGAGACCGAGCTGGGTGTGTTGGCAAAACCTAGAGAAGCCTGGGAGGAAAAGCAGAGAAGTGAGCCTGTTTTCACCACGATGTGTGGCCAGCTTTCTTCTCAAGGGCTGTGAAAGGAGAGGTAAAGAATGGGGACCAGCACGTGTAGGGGCAGGAGTGCATGGGAAATCTCTGCACCTTCCTCTCAGTTTTGCTGTGAACCTAACACTGCTCTCAAAAACCAGAGTCTTAAAAAAAAAGCATGAGACCTCAGCAAGGAAGAGAGGGGCTTTCCCATAAGCCACATCCAAGCAGTCAGAAGAACGGGGCTCTGAGCATGGGCAGAGCTCTGAGCTAGGCCAGATGTCTGGCCACTGGGTTTGCAAGGCATGAAATGCATCTACTGGGGACAAAAAAGTAACCTGGTATGACGCTGACCACACAGGATGTACTCCATAAGTGTTTGGTGAATTGAAAGGTCCCCTTCCTACTCACTAGGGCAGAAAAATGGGTAGCCTTGAATTGCTGGCAAGAGAAACAAAGTAAAACTAAGGAGCTCTGGTCTCAAAATTTAGAGCACGGTATAATGGGGCATGAACTCTTTAGCTAATTCCCCAACGATGCTGAATGACAGCAACTTCAACTCTAGAAAGTTTAGCTCTTTTTTTTTGGTGAGGAAGATCAGCCCTGAGCGAACATCCATGCTAATCCTCCTCTTTTTGCTGAGGAAGACCGGCTCTGTAGCTCTTTTTTTTCCCCCCAAAATGAATAACTAGCCCCGAAATGGGCTAAAGCGGCCACGTTTATTCCAGAGTGAAGGGTTAACTCCAGGCTCCCAGGCTCTGCAACGCACAGCCCATGAGGAGAGCTCTGGGCACAAGCACTCACGAAGCCCTGACCCACCGGAACGTCCCCCGATCTACCAGCAGATAGAGCATCAGGCCTGCTACCTGCCTCTCACATCCAGCATCTGGACACCAGATGGGGAGGTTTACACAGATTCTACAGGCTTTGCCAGTCCTAACTGTGTAGTAAAATGAGCTACCCAGAGCCCCCTCTGATCAGTGATGAGACGGCAGCAGGGACAAGCCCTCATTGGGAGGAAGCACTTTTGATTCCAGCAGAGTTTTCCCATCCCAGAGGCAAAACCTCGCCTTCAAGATCCAAATTTGCCTTCCGCACTTGTCATCTCGAATCTCTTGGTTCATCTGCTTCACACTAGATGCACCAGAGAAGCTTTTGACAACACAGATAAAGCAAGAACAAGAAAAGGGAAATGATTGTGAATAGCACAGTGAGCAGTCTGGCCCCCATTCTTCTAGTCTTGTTTCTATGCATTTATAACTTACAAACAAACAAAAAGATGGGTAACACTGCATGTGCTTTTTTCACTTAACACTATATCACAGATGAAGGTCTGGGGTCATTGACAAGCATGTACATTCTGTGTGTGAATTTCCGTCTCCCCAGAGAGAGAAGGAAGTTTTTAAGGGAAAGAAGAGTGATTTCTGCTTCATGACTTCAGCTCCCATATCCCTTCCTATACCACTGCTGCATAGAAGAAACAGAAGAGGGAGCATGCCAAGGACCGGGTGACTTCAAGGCTGTGTGCACACGACTGTGTGTGTGTGTGTGTGTGTGTGGGCACACGTGTGTGTCCATGCACGTGTGCACAAAGGTGCATACACACGAAGGCCTCTTGCTTAACATCCCTTTCAAAGATAGGCTGGCATGTGACGAGCTCTTGGGCCTGAGCCCCAAATGCCTTACATTTCTACCCTAGGTCTGTGCCTAACTGTATGGGTGGGGTCCTCTCAGAGGGCCTCTGTCTTACCTCTGAAGATCCGCTTCTGAGATCCCAAGAGCTGGCAGACCTCGGCAGAGGACTTGCAGGAGTTGACACATTTCTGCATCTGGTCGGCCAGGTCAAACAGAGTCACGTTGGAGGCCAGGGAAAAGGTGGTCTGTAGTGACACAGCCACTGCGCTGGACTCCCTATGGGCAAAGTGTGTAGGTTTTAATTGTCCTAAAGCGACATGTGGGCCCCAGGGGTTTTGGGAAATGAGTGTCTCCATTCTCCAGCGAGGGCATGGGAGAGCATGAAGGTCCAGTGACCTTGGCCTGGATCACTCTAGGGTTTAGTCAGAACAGGGCCCAGTTTTGCTGCTACCACCCATGTCGGAACATCCTCCCCTTTCTCGAGACTGGTTCACAAACAAATGTAATTCTGCTACTTACTTAGAAGCATGAACTGTGGATCGGGTATAACCAGGTAATGTTGAAAAACACACATTTAACTGAAAGGAAGAAGAAGTTTGTTGTTAACTGGGAGTTAAAGAAAAGCCTTGGACCTAGAACCAATTTCCTTTTTTCAGAATAAACTAGGCATTTTCCAGCCATCAAGTTATTAGCAGGCAGCTTTTACATGGGAGTGGTGTCCCTTTTTTGTTCCCTTCTTAAATGCCTTTCTGCTCTTATTCTGTTGTCCCATGAGTACAAAGGGAGAGAGGCAGATAGTAAATCAGTGGAGAAAATCTTGGCAGGAAATGATGTTCAGAACAGCACCCTTGGATACAAAACATCTTCAAAGGAGCAGATCTCTTCTAAGACCCAGGGTTTCAAAAAACTCAGAGGCAACTGTTTATTTGGACTTTGCACAGTGAACAGCCTCACTGAAAAGGCTGGGTTCCTGTTGGCTACCCCAGGTCTGGCAGGCCCTACACAGACCGCTCATCATCTACAATGAGTTGACCTAACTCAAAGATAGGTCCTCTTCACAAAGGCTCTCCATGGGAAATTACATTACAGGGCCAAGAGCCCTTTTGTTGAGAGCAAATTAAGAGCGACTTTCCCGTGTTTGCCTTGTGCCCTCGGAAAGAGCAGAAAATCCCTCTAGGGCGTGAAGGACCATGCCTGCATCCCCACTCCCCCCACGGCAGGGGCTGGGGATTCCTTTCACCAACAGAGAGTCTCAATACCTTGACCAATGCAGACCCACCTGTCTTCAAAGCCCATGTGTCAGACACATCTCACCCTCATAAAACGGATTCAAACATAGGATGCTATCAAACCCTTTTGGCTTTGTATGACATTGCTTTATATTCTGATAGGCAATGATTTATTATTATTATTACTTAAACTTTTTCACCAGGTAAAAACAGAAATGGCACATTTCAGACCAGGGTGGCATGTTGGGAAAGGCCACTTGAGTGGCTTCTCCAGTCACGGCCTAAATCTTCACTATTTCTTGGGGGTGGGAATGCCATCTCACAAATAAATCATACGTTGATACTGGGTAAAAATTAACGAGTCACGCAAGTCACTTGAGCACTGTGTAATGGGTAAGACTGTACCTCTGCATGGTGTTCTAAGCCCCCATACTATCTGGAAGGAAATGTTGACCTACAGCACATCCACGAGGCAGCTGTGGTAGAGTGACAAGAACAGCAAGTATAGGGTCAGCAGACGTAAAACCCTGCTGTATAGTAAAGAATTTAACCTTGTCCAAAGAGAGGTCTGGCCCTCGGCTCCTGGGAGGCAAACTCTAAGCCTCCGGAATGTCCTGCTTTGTTTACCTGGAGGGGCTGGGCCACTCCAGATAGTCTAACGATGTGATTAATGGCGGGGGCTTTGGGTTACAAGACTCAGTCTCCAGAAGGGCTGGAGACTGAGGTCAGCCATATGGGCAGTTGACTATGTCTATGTATTGCCTCTAGACATCAAGGCTCAGGTGAGCTTCCGTGGTAGGCAATACTCCGTGAATATTGTTCACATCGTTGCCGAGAGGAGTTAACGCTGTCCATGACTCCATGGGGAGAGGACACCAAATTTGGAAATCTCCTAGACTCTGCCCCACGTATCTCTTTCCTTACCCGATGTAATCTGGATGTTTTCACTGTAATAAACCATAACCATGAGTATAACTGCTTTCAGCATTATCTGTGAGCCCTTCTAGTGTATTATCAAAACCAAGGGTAGTCTTGGGGATCTCCAAACTTGCAACTGGTGTCAGAAGTGAGGGTAGGCCTAGTGGACTGTTCCCTAAATTAGCACTTGCTCTGTGTGAACTCGGGCAATGTCATTAACACCCAGGGCCTCCCAGTTTTCCCTCTGTAACAGTGTTGGCAACACCTCTAACAGGCACGAGGCATCTGGCTAAGTGCCTGCCACAGAGTAGATGCTCAGCAGATACAGAAATGGAACTGAAACCTAAATTATATGCAAATAAAATCCATAGTCCTATAAAATCCTATAGGTTTTAGCTAATATACTAACTCTTACCCATAAAGCACAAGTAAAATGGAAGCCAGAAACTAAAACTTATTTTAATGGCAAATTTCAATTTTCTGAACACCAAATCTTAGACTCAGGTGGCAGCTGAGAGGCAAAATTTATTATCTGAGCTTCACTTCCACCTCTTCTTCCTTCCTTTCCATTTTTCTTTCTTTCTTATTTTTTTTCCTCACAAAAAGTAAGCAAAAAGGGAAAGAAGAAGAATCAAATGGCCCTAGCTAATTTATGCAGTGAATTCTCAACCCTGGGTAATCAGGATTAACTGTTATGCCTTCGGCATAACAACATCTCCTGAGAAAAAAGAGCATCATTCTGCCCAAGTTCTGTAACACAGAGAGAAAGTGACAGAGCATGTCAACAGCAGATGGGATAGTAGGATTTTCTAGGTCTTGCCTCTTCACCAACAGCTCTTCTTGGTACATGTCATCCAAATGTCTACGACTATGAGTCTGCACATGGAAAAGAAACGCTAAGGCACTGATAAAGGCTGCATGTGAGGACACATTCAAAGAAACGCTTCTACTGGGCACCAGTAGTTCTCAACACCTCCCTTCTATTTCTAAGAGGCTTTTTATCATACCATCATGTTTTCTTTCCAAATATAATAGAAATGAACAGCCCAGGAGACACAGCTGATCCTCAGGAGGTTCCCAATTCTGAATAAAATCTGTTCTAGAAAACAAAGGACTAGAAGGAAGAAGACTTTCAGGAAACTTACTATTTTGGTGATCTCATTTTCAACTTCATGTAGGTCTGAATGTTTTTCCATGGTGATATTAAGAAACGTTTTCTTTAACTTAAACTCTGTCACGAAGGTTCTGACTGCAAACGAAAACATAACCTGTTAGACCACACAACAGGTCGACCTACGCAAGGCTGTGTTCATAAATCTCAGGGGCATCCAGCTTCACTCCACCTCACAGGACAATCTCCGTGCGTTTCTTTCTCCTTGAGGGTGGAGACCACCTCTCCCTCTTCTGGGCTCCTCTCTAGTAAAGTGAGCATCTACTGAGCTGAGCTGAAGGCTCAGACCAAGTAAACCTCTGAGTGAGAGACTCCAAGGAGCCTTTCGTGTATGTGCGAGGGCTGCTGAGAGAAGGAGCCTTCTTGACATCTCTCTAATGACCTCCCACATAATAGATGCTCACTTGAGCTGTGACAAAGAAGAAAGATGAGCTGGCCTAAACAACATAATCCTAGGAGGAGGGGAGGGAGATGTGGGGCTAGAGACAAAAATGCTCGTCAGTCCCTATAAAGCTTTAAATAGATGAAAGCTCTTGCTCTCTAGGTCCTGTACCAAGTTAAGTCCTCCGTTTCAAGGGCACGCTTTGGGTTTCCTCTTCTCATCAGAGTCACCCCCACCAACACCCATTCCTCTTGCTCAGAGGAAATGCCCATTTTATCACTGATAAAAGAGGCGTCCAGAAGTCAGGTAACTTCCAAGATCATCCAGCTCCCAAGGGCCAAAATTAACATACAAAGTCATGTGTGCCCATCTTCCAAGTTCTTCTCTCCCCTCTACACCCTCATCCCCTTGAGGAATCTGATATTCTTAGGACAACCAAGGGCCTACAGAGAAAGCTGCCAAACATCTGTAGTGGGACCCCAATCCAGGGGGCTGCCAGACTCCATGATTATAAACCACATAATGAAAACAACCCATATTCAAGATATCGTCGGGTTCAGACATGAAAGAAAGCAGCCCCATTTCACTCATAAAATAAAATTCTAGTTAACATCAATTTGTGCTGATTGGGCCTGAGGGAAACGGAACTTACAAATGGGCAGGCAACCAAAAATTAGTATGGCCTGCTTTATATCTGGCTCTTATCTTCCTTTATATTAAATTCTTATCTTTCCCTGTGGACAGGAAAACCCAAAACACAGAAATCCATGAAGCTGCTCCTTCACAGAAAGCTTGCCTGCTGAATTAAGAAAAAGGCCCACAAATGAGCCAGGGAAAACATTTAACATCTTATCCTTACTGTCTAAAGCCCTTAATCCTTATTTAACATCTTTTTGCTTGTTCTACAGTTCAGTGAAGCCAGCTGCTCAGGACTCTTTCTGAACAGCAGGGAGCTTTTTGAAAACATTCTCGGCCAAATGAAAGCATTTCAGCTTGCTCTAATTTGCATGTTCCTCTGATGGTTATGAACAATGAAGCTAAATGACTTGAAAAGGGAAAGATGATTGTTAACACAAGAGATCCGCTCTCCTCCTGATCCATGGTGCCTGTGGGACACTCCACACACAGGTTTCCAGAACCTTCACTCTACTCCTTCATCTTCACATCTCACAGGTCTAGATTTACACCCAGACTCTCTGTATAGAGACATACATATTGTAAATGTTAAGTGCACAGATCTCTCCTGAAACATGACAGTAAATGGTGCCTCTGCTTTCGGTGTGAATATGAAGATGGCATCACACAGAGTCCTTCCAGCCCCTGCACTTTCCCAGGCCCATTTACATCTTCATACCTGTACTTAAGTCAAATTTAACTGCTGATTTACATAAGTTATCTAAATGATTTTTTTTAAAGATGCATAATTATTACTTTGTATTCAGAGTAGTTTACTGTTTTCATTGCTTTCAATTCTGCTCCAAGAAGTTGAAGACAGGGGCCAGCCCCGTGGCTTAGTGGTTAAGTGCGTGCGCTCCGCTACTGGCGGCCTGGGGTTCGGATCCTGGGTGCGCACCGACGCAACGCTTCTCCGGCCATGCTGAGGCCGCGTCCCACATACAGCAACTAGAAGGATGTGCAACTATGACATACAACTATCTACTGTGGCTTTGGGGGAAAAAACAAAAGGAGGAGGATTGGCAATAGATGTTAGCTCAGAGCCGGCCGTTCTCAGCAAAAAAGAGGAGGATTCAGCAGGATGTTAGCTCAGGACTGATCTTCCTCAAAAAAAAAAAAAAAAAAAGTTGAAGACTAATGTCAAATGATAACTCTCATCTGGAGAAATCTACCATTCTCAAAGCTTGCACAAATGTTATTATTATTACTTTTTTTATTGACTTTTAATAGACATACAATATCCTATTAGTTTCAGATGTACATCATAGTGATTCAGTTTTAATATACATTATGAAACGATCATCATAAGTCTACTCACCATCTGTCACCATACAGTTATAACAATATTATTGACTATGTGCCCCAGGCTGTACATTACATCCCCTTGATTTGTTTATTTTATAACTAGAAGTTTGTACCTCTTAATCCCCTTCACCTATTTTGCCCATCCCCCCTCACTCTCTCTCTCTGGTGACCACCAGTTTGTTTCCTGTATCTGTGAGTCTGTTTCTGTTTTGTTTGATCATTTATTTTGTTTTTTAGATTCCACATATAAGTGAAGTGATATGGTATTTGTCTTTCTCTGTCTGACTTATTTCACTTAGCATAATACCCTCTAGGTCCATTCATGTTGTCACAAATGGCAAGATTTCATTCTTTTTTATGGCTGAGTAATATATACCAAATTTTCTTTATCCATTCATCCATCGATGGACACTTAGGTTGCTTTCATATCTTGGCTATTGTAAATAATGCTGTAATGAACATAGGGGTACATATCTTTCTCAATTAGTGTTTTCATTTCCTTCAGATAAACACCCAGAAGTGGAATTACTGGGTCATAAGGTAGGTCTATTTTTTTTTTTTTTTTTGCAGGGAAGGATTCTCCCAGAGCTAACATTTGTTGCCAATCTTCCCCTCTTTTGTTTTTTTTCTCCCCAAAGCCCCAGTACATGGTTGAATATCCTAGTTGTAAGTCCTTACAGTTCTTGTGAGCCGCCCATAGCATGGCAACTGATAGACAGGTGGTCTGGTTCCCGGGCCTGCTGAAGTGGTGAGAGCACTGAACCTTAACCATTAGGCCATCAGGGCTGGCTCTCTATTCTTAATGTTTTGAGTAACCCCCACACTGTTTTCTATAATGTCTGCACTAAATGTCTCACCAACCATGCACGAGGGTTCCTTTTTCTCCACATCCTCGCCAACACTTGTTATCAAGTATGTTATTTTATCTGATCTTCACAACAGCCCTGAGTGGGAAGCAGAGCAAGTGGTAATCTGATTTTACAGATGAGGACAGTGATGTGGTGCCCAAGGCAGTAGCCCTGAAGCTGGGGGCCGGGCATTTGAGTTCCTGGCCAAGTGTACTTTCCACACTGCCTCAAAACAAAATTATTTCCATCTTCTCCATTCTTAAACCAAAAACTCCTGGCTTATTTCTTACAGAGTGTAGCTAAATGGAATAGGTTACCCAAAAGCAAATAAACTATTAAAATAAGAGAAATTCTTGATTTTGATTGATGTGTATATTCCTCAATTTTTCTTTCTTTAAATAATGCTTTGACTTGAACCTTATATTCTAAACAATTTTCAAAATTCTACCATTTAAAAGTAGGGTACCAACCTTCTTAAAAGGTCTGATGACTCCACTCAGCCTATGGGCAGAAGAAATTCATGCGAATAATACTTTTCAAGGATACAGACATTTGTTCTCTCAAAAAATATTTACTGAGCACTTTGTGTGTTAAGCATCACATCGGGTGATTTAAGATGATTCAAAGATGCGTCAATTTACCTGCCAGTTTCCTTATCCAGCTTAGATAACAATATGTCCTTCACTTTTTTGTGTGTGTGGGAGAGGAAGATCAGCCCTGTGCTAACATCTGCCAATCCTTCTCTCTTTTTTTTTTTTTGCTGAGGAAGACCGGCCCTGGGCTAACATCCGTGCCCATCTTCCTCCACTCTATATGGGACGCCGCCACAGCATGGCTTACCAAGTGGCACGTCGGTGTGCTCCCGGAATCCGAACCCGCGAACCCTGGGCCGCCGCAGCGGAGCGCATGCACTTAACCGCTTGTGCCACCGAGCCGGCCCCCTGTCCTTCACTTCTAATTTCTTCCACAAGGTATGTATTGAACTTGGCACTCTAACACAGGGGTATACCCTATGTGCAAGAACGCTCTTATGATTAACACATTGCTGTGTGAGGGAAGGAATTATGGCCTCTCCTCAACAAGCTGTGTAAGCTTGGCCACTTAGCACCTTATCAGGGCCTTAGTTTTCATTTGGGTTGTTTGTTTGCTTTTTAATCTCTAAAATGGAGACTATATCTAAAATCAACCAGCTTCATGACTCTATCAAATTAGGGAACAAAATATTACAAATCGTAAGGTACAATTACAGCAGCAGCTTTGTAAAAATGTATTTGCCTGTGGACAAGAACGTGAAGATCATTTTTAAAAATGAAAAGAATGTGTGAATGTGGTAGGATAATCAGGGTTTTCTTTTCTTTCTCTCTCTATAATTTTTTTTTTTACTATGTGGTTAGAATATCCTTTTGATATACTTTTTTCCTAACTGCAGGGTGCAATGGTTAAGCAAATAGTGTTATGCACAAATAATGGCATATTTATGCAGTCATTAAGATGTTTGTATAATATTTTTAATAACAGGGGAAATGTCTGAGATATAAAGTTTGTACAAATACCATGATTTCAACTATATAAAAATATAACGCACACTAAAAAAGATCGCAAATAAGATGCTAAATCTCTGAGTGGTGGAACAATAGGCAGCATCCTCCACTTCTTTCTATATTCCTTAAGTTTATACCTTGGACAAATATTTATTTTGATTAGGGAAGAAAACAATAAATGTTATTTTGCAAAATATATTGTGGTGCAGAAAAAATTCCAAGACAGACTAATTCTCTTACCCAAACTGCATATTCCTTTTTCCAAGTGATACCCAACCGGGCATTTGCAGGTGAAGGATCCCTGAGTATTGTTGCACATGGCCAGGGGTGGGCAGGGGTTCGAGCGGCATTCATTCACATCTGCAGAGGAGAGAAAACAAGGCCATGTTGAATTTGTGGCAGACAGCAAAACCATAATCCAGTGCAGTAAGCGCTTACTAAGGGCCAAAAGGCACTAGGTGTGGGGGCACCCCAGAGAGGAGTAGGACACTACCCTCGTCCTCAAGGGGCTGCCAGTCTATTGACAGTGGAGGCAGCCATGTATACAACTAACTATAAATACGAGGCAGGATTTGGAAGTACAGAGAAAGTAGCAGATTTTGATGGAAGGGAGAATTAAGGACTGTTTGAAATAACATCTTGACTAAGATTGGAAGGACTTTCATAAGCAGACATGGGTGGGTGGGTGGGGGGATTCTATGCTGAGGCACCAGCACAGTGAAGGCTAGGAGCAGGAAAGCGTAGGGGTCTTTAGGTAGCTATGGATGGTCCAGTAGGGCAGGAGTGTAGGGAGCCTACAAGATGGAGCCAGATCATGGAGGCTTGTCAGCGACAGTCTGACGTTATTCTGCAGACAACATATAAGCACACTAACTTTCAAGTAAGCGGAGTATTAATCTAAAAATGTTACTCCCCTACATTTTGGAGGAGAAAGGAGTTTGCTGCCTATCTCTTAATTCTCCCAGCTAATATTTGATTCTTGCTTATTTCTGCTTACTTGCCCTGAAAGGCCACACTACTAAAATAGGATGGGTTCCCAAGAGGGCAGAAGAGATGCTCCAGGACTGGATACCAGCACTAGCGTGGGTACACACACAGCGTTAGACAACTGAGTCCCTGAATGCAGGAACTGGTTCCAGTCCAAACGCTGCTTACAGGACTGACAGGACAGAACAGTCACTCAGTTCAGGACTGACGATTATATTGCCTTTGTGATACTTAGAAAATTCTACTTGAATCAATGCCAATTTAGGACAAGTTAAAGAGTAAAAAGATCCCTCATCAACCATCCTCCCTGCTGCAAGATTTCCCTTTATCCAAAAATCTCAAAATGTAACTGATCTTCCATGTGCTGTGCAATCATTTAGGAAAACGATCGGAGTTGAGCACGACAATGCCCTCTCTTTACTTGATGTGACAATGAGCCCTATCTGATTCATCCAGGCCCTAACAACGCACAGGCTGCAGTGTCATCTTGGACTCCCAGCTCCCAGGGGCAGTGACCACAACTCTCGGTTTGGTCTGTGTAACTGGCATTGTCACACTCCAGTTATAGGATAACTGCTTGATAGAGGCTTCTGACACATACTTAGAAAAGCCAAAACCCACAACATGACTGCATCGTCTCCAAGGAGAAAATCAGTTGTAGAATGGGAAAAAAGAAGGTGGAAATTAGGACTTCTAACTCCAAAAGAATAACCCTGAAAACAAATGGGATAAACCCAAAGATGGTGTTCCTATTCCTCATTGCTACTTTAATATACCTAAAATCACCTAGAGAAGCACAGCCCCTATATATCCACAAACACTGTCACAAAAAGCATACCAACAGCCAGTAGTGATGCTCCTAATGATGCTCGCCTATAGTTATGATTGCAACGGCTATCACTGGCATTAACGGAGACTTGTGAATTATGTTCCATCTGGTACTGGAATATATTCGGCCTCTGGAAATGAAGGCTTGCGAGCCCTGAAGCAGGGATCCCACACTTGCCAGGAGAAGGATCCACCCTTCATCTCCCAGAAGTGCCAGATCGCTGGTACACAGGAGGCACTGGTGCTCACAGCACTGTGGGGCTGGCGGTGGGGGTGGTTTACGACCCTCCAGCCCCCAGGCTGATGATGGCTGACTGGCTAGAACTCTGACACTAACTGAGCTCCCTGCTCTAGTCACTACAAAGCATTTCTCTTCCTTCCTTCTTCCTTAAGACGTCAGTCTCCATTTCACCCTTTCACCCATGGCAGTGTTCCTTTCCTGGGTCTAGACAACCCATATTTTGAACATGACATCAAAACTTACATCATCCTCCTTCCTTCTACCTTTCCTTAAATGATAATCACTTTAGTGGATGGTTTTATTTTCCTTGTCCCAGCAACTTCCACGTGGATGTAAAGATAACCTCAGCGTGATGTAAAGGAGCCCTGGTCACGCAGTCACTATGGGAAAAGGTTAGCTCATTATCCTATTCTTGAACATGTCCTCTCCCCCACATTTATCAATTAGGGTCATAACCTTAGGGGGACAAAGGGCCTGGACTTCTGCTGGATCAAGAGAAGCCTCCCAGACGGCTGGGGAGCGGGCTCACTGACTCAGAAGCTCGGGACTCTGGTCTGGGAGCAGGCACCTACTCGCTCTGTGTCTCAGACAGGCCATCTAAAGCTTCCTGACTCCAGTTTTTCCACGTTCCAATCCCGCATCACCGCCCTGCTCTGGCCTTGGAAGAGTTAAAGGCGTGCTTGAAAAGCTCCTGCAATCACAGGGCGTTACAGGCTACAACTGTACTATCTACTAATGTCGCATGCGGCCAATGGCACCCTCTCCACTTTCTTCAGGAAGAATTATGTAACTCAGAGGCGAGAAAATTAGGTGCACCATGACATTCTTTTATGCTTTAAGTGCTTCAACAGGAAGCATTTGAGACCACAGAACAGACACCGTACTGTTGCAAATACCAGCCACTGCCACACATTCACACGAATCCCGAGCCCGTGCAGCTCTCAGTGTGCTTATGCGACTGCGTTCTACCTGAGGCTGGAGATGACGATGCTGTTGGTGGCTGCGTGCTGCTCTGAGCAGCGAAGGTGGTAGATTTAGGAGTCAGCACTTCAGTGGTAGAAACGTCTGTGGTTTCGGGAGAAGGAGATGTTCTGAGGAAATGTGACGTCGGGCTGTACTCTTCTGTAATGCCAAGCACTGTAGTCAATTCTTTTGCTGAGGTGGGTACACTGGTCAGGGAGACCAATTGGGTGGTAGCATCTATATCGACTTGGCTCCTTTTTGTGGTAACAGGACCTTCTGTCGAGATTTGTGGTGCTACAGTTTCAGGACTGGTTGGCAAGAGCTGTTTTCTGGCTGTAGTCTGTACTGTTGTGGGGCCAGCCGTCACAGCTGCTGTGTTTGATGGGGGGCTGGGAGTGGTCACAGGGGGAGAAGAGGTCTCGAGAGTGGTGGTTGTCAAAGCTGGAGACATTTGGGCCATGCCGGTGCTTGTGACTGGAAGGGTTTGCTCAGTGGAAGACTCTGTTAAGGCCGGAGGCATAGGGATCCCCAGAGTAGACCTCACTGTCACAGCTTTGGTGGCCTCTGTGGGCAGAGACTCCAGGCTCTCTAGCTTTGATTCCGTAATGATTTGCTCATGCTGTGGGTTGCTCTGGTTCTTAGGATCTGCTGTTTGACTACCGGGGAACATTGCCACAGACGCTATTGTAGACATCCAAACTGAAGTCACAGGAGGGTCCCTTGCCGCGGGCAGCACCAGGGTAGAAGATGAAGGTGGTAGGGTTGTTTGGGAGACAGACAGCGAGGCAAAGGTAGAGGCTGTCAGGGGTATCGGTGAAGGTGGTGGTGAGGAAGACAACGGTGTGGGCGCACCAGGAGTGGACTCCAGTGGGTGAGCGAAGGCCCTGGTCGATGGTAAGGTGGATGAGAACAACTGGTGGGATTGTGACACTGAGGGCAGAGGCAAAGGGGACCCTGATGAAGAAGACGATGAGTCACCAAGTGAGCCAGTACTAGTGTTCAGAAGAACCAAAGTGCTTGGCATATTAATGGTGGGTGTGTAGGACGGAGGGTTGGCTGTACGCAGAACTAGTGACTCAGTAGAAGGCTGAGCATATTCCCCTTCATAGGATGAGACATTACTTTGCTCAGTCTGAGCCTGAGAAGAGGAAGAATAGTCTGAATGTGATGAGTTTGAGATCGTAATAGAAGAAGTTGAACTCTCCCTTATGTCTGAGGATGAACTGTTGTCTGTAATGGAGAGCAATGCCCGTTCTCCTTTGGTGAAAGTAGATGAAACATAGGTGTGGTCTGTGTGGTCGCTGGAACTCCTCTCTTCAACGTCTGTGCCACTCACTGGATCGTAGCTATCTCCAGTGACTGCAAATGGAAAAACTAAAGTTAGGTCAACTAAACAAACAGGAAATCTCCTGAACACACACTATAAAATAGACTCTCAATGTCCTATCTGCGAATGCCAGTGGATGAAACACTTTCTCTGGAGAGGTGGTTTTCAATGGGAGCACTCTGGATAGAGACAGTATGGGAAGGCAGGAAGGGTTTGAGTCCGTGCTGAGTAGATTTACCCTCCTGTGAGGAGAGAGGGTGGCAGCAATGGAAACAATAATAAAAGAAAAGTGGGGCCAGAGGCCGAAGAATAGGGAATAGGTCCAAATTCCTTCCACATGCCTTTTTTGATAAAAGCAAACGGGTATCTGAAAAACTCTTAAGACCCCAAATAGAACAATTGTTATGCCTAAATGGAAAAGGAAAACCCTCCCAACTTTCCATTCTGTATAATGAGATATTTCTTTCCCAGGAGATTGGCCTTAGCCATAGCATGGCTGGTCTCCTTTATTTCAAGCATCCTGGCAGACAACACGGCAAATGCTTTAGGAAAGTGTGTGGAGGGGGTGGGTGGGGGGACGTGGGAGAATCCAGAAAGTTCTCTTCATAAAGAGCTTGTAAGGTACTTTCTGGGTTGACAGCCAACTTAATCATTCTGGGACTGTGAGCAAACTGACAGATGAGCTGAAGGAATGTGGGAAGAGATCCTGCTCGTCACCTCCGAGGGCACTCGAGGCCGCCAGTGAACCCGAGACCAGGTGGGTGTCACCAGTCACGGTCACATTCCCCTGCTGAGTGGCAGTCTCTGTTTCTCTGGGCGCTGCCACAGAGCGCCCTGCTTCCCCAGGAGTTGTGCTCCCGTTGGTGAGAGACCGCAGCGTGCGCTCTCCGTTTCCAGTGGAAGTGGCTGAAGTGTGCGGGCTATGAGCACGGGCTCCAGACGTCCCCTCGGAAGTCCCCTCCTGCGCCTCAGAAATGACTCCCAGCTCCGGACTGTCTTCAGTGGCTACAAGAAGATAGAAAAGGGGATGGCCGGTCAATACAGGGTTAGAGCAACAGTACTGTGTGTGAGTCTCAGGAATAAGCCTCACTTCCTGGACTCCGTTAGCCAAGATGTTTCCCTGTGCTTTCTCAGGATCTTGATCTCAAACTCACATCATGGAAAACCAAGACGTGTGTTGTTCTTGCAAACACAGATCGGTGACTGAATCCTCAAGAGGCTCTGCATGTCAGCATATCTGTTCAGGCGACCTGGATTTATGGGAAGCCTTATTACTTCAGTGGACAGGATCAATACCGTACTTCTGCTCGGCGACACATAATAAATAGAGTTTCTGTCAGGGAAATCGGTGGCGGCGGTGGGGGAGGTGAACTGTGGACAAAGACTAACAACCCAACTGGGCCTTCAGACCCTATGACGAGGCCCAAGAGGGAGGCCCACATCACTCCAGGGGCTTTTACCTCCTGGTAGACCAGCCGTACAGGAAGTGACACAGGGCCTGTCATTCTCATGGAGTGTTAGCTACTGGTCTTAACATATCAGTGAGAAATGGTATTGGGTCAGAGGTTAAAGGTGGGCTTGTTATTTTTTTTTAATCCATTTGTTTTATTTTCTTGATGAGGATGGAATAGGGACAGGTAACACACAAATAAATATCCTTTTCCCCCTTTCTCTGGCATATGCTTTATGCTATAAGCTTAAAGTATCTTAGGTTACTATATTAGATTATCAAATGAACCCTTCTTTTCAGATGGAAATGAGGTCCAATTCTTCTTGGCCTAAATACTTCATAATCTGGCTCTATGAGAAAACAGCCTCTTTTCCTGGTTCTTATTCCTATTCCCAGACCAGACTAGCTCTTGACACCCCATGGACACACCCTGATGGAAAATCGATGACAGCTGAGTGTTGAGTAAGTTCACTTCATGATAGGTTTGCATTAACTGACAGACAGGATGGATGAGTATGGGGAAAGGATACACAGTGATCTGGGAAGCACTGAGAAAGCCAGGACCCAGACAGCGATGTGATGTGATCCAGGCTGAAGGGCTTCAGAGACCCACGGAAAGTCCACCAGGAGAGGCTTGAGATTTGAGCATATCTGAGCACAAGTTCTCTGGGCAAAGAGGAACTTGCCTGGGAAGGGGAGGTCGTAAATGCTGTGTTAAATGAAGTGTCAGGCTTACAAATTTAACAAAGTGGAAGATCATGACCTGAAACAGAAGGGCTGCATCTGAACCCAGAAAATGGAACAGCTTGAGAACTCTGAAGGGCTGGATGGCAGAATGAGTCAGCTTGGGGTAATTCAGAGGAAACGAGATAAAGCATCATGTTAACCCACGGTGAGGCGGTTTCAGGAACAAGGCTATTTCTTATCTAGCTCTTTATAACTGAACCCCAAGATCCGCTCACCCTGAGATCACATTTTCCACATGAATCAACTGAGCATTAATGCAGAGCAAAGGGTACTGAAGAGATGGAGAAGGGAACGGCTACAGAACCTAAGATCCTGGTCTGAGAGGGTCAAAATTCTGAGCCCCACAATTGTGAGGGTGGAAAATGATTTCTTTTGTTTAGGAGGCAGATAATGCATTTTCCATACACAGATATAAAAGAGCATAAATATCCTCCACCCATATGTGTGGTATTCTTTCCTGATAAGCATATGCTTTTCCATATCACGAGTAGCAATAAATGCTAATTTTCCTCATCAATTAGGATGCACATACGGAGAAAATGAAGCTGCTATTATTAGTGGTGGAGAGGTAAGAATTTAAACCTATTATAAGTATAAATGATAAGTTAATGCATTTTTTCTTTAGTCAGCATACACTTTACATTGATAAGGCTGCTGAAAATTGTTTTTAAAAATTACCCAAAAACATTATTAAGAAGGAACATCAAAAGAAAAGTTTTCTAAAATTGATAAATTGGACTTTATCAAAATTAAAAACTTTTGCACTGAAAACAATACCATCCAGAAAGTGAAAAGACAACCCACAGAATGGGAGAAATGTCTGCATATCACATATTTGATAAAAGACTAGTATCCAGAATATACAAAGAACTCTTACAACTGAAAAAAAGGCCAAATAACCCCATTTAAAAATGGTCAAAAGATCTAAATAGACATTTCCAAAGAAGATATACAAATGACCAACAAGCACATGAAAAGACGCTCCACCTCATTAGCCAGCTGGGAAATGCAAATCAAAACTACTCAAGATATCACTTCACACCCACTAGGATGGCTATAATAAAAAAAGATGTACAATAACAAGTGTTGGTAAAGATGCTGAGAAACTGGAACCCTTGCCATTGTTGGTGGGAAGAGAAAAGGGTGCAGCCACTTTGGAAAACAGTTTGGCAGCTCCTCAAAAGGTTAAAAATACAGTTACCATTTAACCCAGCAATTCCAAGAGAATTGAAAACATATATCCACACAAAACCTTGTACCTGAATGTTCACAACAGTATTATTCATAATAGCCAAAAGGTGGGAACAACCCACACATCCATCAATTGATAAAAGGATAAATAAATTGTGGTACATCCATATAAGAGAATATTTTTCAGGCATAAAAAGAAATGCAGTACTGATACATGCCACAACATGAATGAACCTTGAAAACATTACACTAAGTGAAAACTACAAAAGGCCATATATCATATGATTCCACTGATATGAAATGTCTAGAATAGGCAAATCCAGAGAGACAAAAAGTAAATTACTGGTCGCCAGCAGATGGGAGAAGGAGAGAATGGGAGTGAGTGCTGGTGAGTACAGAGTTTCTTTTTGGGGTGATAAAAATGTTCTGGAATTAGATAGTAGTGATGATAGCACAATGTTGTGAATACACTAAAAACCACTGAATTATACACTTTAAATGGGAAATTGCATAGAATGTGAGTTATATCTCAATAAAGGTGTTTGAAAAAAAGGGGGAGAGAGAATTTCTGTTGATGAATGCCCAGACCTGGGGTGAACTCACAAGAAAGTGATATTTCCACCTTCCGGAAGCTGTGTGATTGAGGCAGGTCTGGGGGTATGGTGTGGGCGATAAGGAAGGGAAGGACACAGATAGAGAGGTCTCTGAGCTGTGCGTGGGAGGGGAAGGTGGCAACAGCAGTATCTCAGAGATGTACCAGAAAAAATGGGGGATATAGAGGTGTACTTGTATCAACCAGCTAGAAGAATGGCCTGGAAATAATGAAACTAGAGGGGCCTACGGAGCTGTTTCATTAAGGCCACAGAAGATCACAAGCCAAGGAAGCCCCTCTCCCCTCCGTGTGGTGCATTCTGGGAAGGGAAACTCACTCGAGCGTTCACCGCGAGGTGCAGAGGAATTCGGGCTTTCTGAGGAAGGTGAAGACAAAGACTCGGTGGCCAGCTCAGAGTAACTCCTATCACCCAGCGCCGTGTCGCTTCCTCTACTCTGTGGGGCAGAGGCTGAGAACTGAGTCAAAACTGAAGCGTTCACAACGTCAGGATAGAAAGTAGAGCTTCCTGTCGCGTCTGTGATTGTCTTGCTGTCGATCAAGAACGAGCGTGCCGTGCTCTCTCCACCTGTGACCAATGGGACGGACCCAGACACAGTCTCAGTCGGAGACACGCGGCTTCTGTTCTCTGCGTCAGAGCTGCTGGCAAGCTGGTGTCCTCTGGAGGCTATGAGGTGTCAGAGAAAAATGCCATTACATGGATGTGAAAGAGATCCCTCCAGAACAGAGACGTGAGTCTTCTCTAGGAATGGTGCCCTCTGCAAGGACCCCGTACAGTATTTACCATATGTGTAACCTGACATGCATTTTCATATTCTAAATAATTATTTCAAAACTCTTCCGTGTCAGGAAGATAGAAATACTAAAAATAAAAGTTGGTGAAGAGGGAAGCTTTTAAATAGCTTGTGCAAAGTTGCAGAGTAACTTGAATGTTTTATTCTCTTTCCCCAAAAAAGTGGTCAAGGGAGCCAGTGTGTCATTATGTCCAACAAATACGATGTGCCCAAATACACTGCTTGGTCAGAAGCATTTTTCTAAAACACTTCTACTGTTAATAAAGATTATTCTAATTTCGAAGTATAGCAAACAAAAAATCAACTATAGAGGGTACACTAAAACCATGAATTTGGGGAGTATATCTATATCTGCACATTTTATTTGTAAAGTTAATCTGTACATAAAATAGCTGAAGCTAGTTTTAAAGAAGGGCCAGTTCTCATTGAAGACGATGCTACAGAGTAATAAGATGCACTCAACAGTGGGAGCTCTGAGGCTGGGGGCTCACTGCTGTGAGCAAGCTAAATGACCGTGCACTCATTACATAAACCCTCTGAACCCTAGTTTCCTCATCTACAAGAAAGCAGGAGGAATGATGCCCATTCAACTAATTTCACAATGTTCTCATAAGGAAGAAAACCAAAACGAGATAACGTGGGATGCCAGACAAAGGAGATGGTGTTATCTAAGAACACAGCTTTCTTTAGAGATTGCAAATGGTCTTGAAGAGATCCTTTGAGAAAATTCAACAACTTAAAAATGTCCATAATAGATCAAATAAAGATTGAATACTTACTTGGGGAATCATTTCGCCAAAATCCCACCGAGACGTCGGACGACGTAAGGCCAAATCCATTTTTTGTGGATGGCTCGATGAATTTCCCATCCCCTGGATTGCTGATTACTTCACTGTTTCCTTTCAATTCTGCCTCAGAGGGTGTAGAATGGACTGATGCTGAAGTCGTGGCAATTTCAGAGTCCATGGGGAAACTCTCTGTCTCATTTAGAGGTCCTGGACTGACGGTCAAAGACTGGAGTGTCCTTGGGACACCATCGGGGAATGTGGTGGCAATGTGCACACGCTTTATCCAACTGACTGAGGGGCTCTGGAGAGCAGTGGATTTGTTTAGCTCCTCCATACTTTTAGAAGCTAAAATGGAAGAAAATATGCTTCAAGACTACTCAGGAGTTTCAGACAATCAGGGATGTATCTAGATACAAATAATGTTTATTACACTTTGGTAGATAAATCTAGATAATGTGGACCTAATGTAGATACACACATCTGACACACTCATTCTCTCACTAGCTCTAATCCTCACAGAGCTAAGTGGAGAAGCATGGAGGGCCTTCACCAAGCGCAATGAAAAGCTTCAGCTCAAGCTAAAAAGAAGGTAGGAGAAAGCCTCTAGACATTATTTGCCTTGGATTTTACAGAGGAAGGTAAAAACTTCTACTCTTGAATTCTACCTTATAGCTTATATAGGAGAGACCATGTGATAAAGTTTACGTTTTTGTTTTGTTTTATTTTAGCAGTGTAACCCCTTTGTTCAAACGCTATTATAGATTAAAACCCATACATGAAAACGAATAAAAGTGGGGCCGTTCCAAGGTGCCCAGCCCCCAGGCCTAGGGCTCTGCAGAGAACAGTTGGAACAACACCAGCTAGAACAGTAATTTTGAGCCTTGTCACCTTCAAGGGTTCTTTATTATTCCCCACCTCAAGGCCACTGTAAACCTCATGTTTTGAAAGACTATTAACTGAACTGCATTTATTAAGTAATAGAGCTTCTAAACAGCAGGAGATACTCATTGTTACCCCACTGATTTGATTTAATTCCAATCAAAAGGAAGCAGGCTCCATTACTGTAGTTAGCCTCATTAGGCTTTGGAGACCAGCTCTCAAGCTTACAGATTACTCCAGTGGGCCCCTAGGAGATCAGGGACTCCAGGTTGGGAACAGTTGTTCTAACGAAATGGGTGGCAAACACTGGATTAATTGTCAAGAACCTCAAGAATTGAATTATACACCATTGGTCAAAACGTGCAGTCTGCTCCACAGAAGTACAGGTGGCTTGCTGATGGCTTCTTCCCACAAAGAACTTTCCAAAGGACACCCTGAGAACTGACCTTCAGAAGAGCACATTGAAATCCTCATTCCAAACAGATAAACTACAGAGAAGCTTGGTGACTGGGAAGAACCAAAGTGTGCTTCATTTTGTCTTTCTGATTTTTCTTTGGTGAGGAAGATTGGCCTTGAGCTACTATCTGTTGCCAATCTTCCTCTATTTTTACTTTCTTTTTGTATGTGAGTTGCTGCCACAGCATGCCTTGATAAGCAGCGTGTAGGTCTGCGCCCAGGATCTGAACCTGCTAACGCCGGGCCGCCAAAGCAGAGCACGTGAACTTAACCACTAAGCCACTGAGCGGACCCCTTTTTTCTTCTTAAGCCAAAAATAAAATAAAGTACTCTATACACCTATATAATGAAAGGCTTGGAAATGTTAATTGTGACCCAGGAAAGAGAAGAAGGAAGTTCTCAGTATAAATGGTTCCTTGAAGAACAAGTCCTATGTGCAGTTGTGACCAAAAGCACAAATAAATATAAAATATAGTTATAGAGAGAAAGAAAGCAGGAGCACAGGAAGCAAAAAGGTTCCTCTTACTCTCGTACAAGACCTAGAACACGGGCTGCAGCTCTGGTCACTGGACGTCAATGAGACAAAATGAAGACGCAGGCAATCCACACAACTAGCAATTGAAACAAGGAAACGGAAAGACCCAGACACAAAAATGGAGTCCCAGCCTACCTAAACCCACCCCTACTTAAAAACAAAAACAAACAAACAAAAACACATTACCATAAAAAAGGAAAGCAGAATATAGATATGTCCCAAATCCTCACTCACCCACTTGGCTTCTCAGGCCTAACTTCATTAGAGTTATTATCTAAATCCACCAAATTACAGCCTCGTCAGATCACCGGGTGCTCTTTCAAAGCACTTTTATTTCCAGTGAACTGCATTATTTCATTGATTTGATGTACAATGTCATTATATTGGACTCAGCCTGAATACCTGTCCAGCAGATCAATGGCCACAGAAGTACAATCACAAAAATCACAAATGCTGAAAGTCACAATAGGAAAACAACTATGTTTTCCCTGCCCTGAGGCTCTGTGGAACACTGCTTCATCTTCTCATTATCAGCATTATTAAAAGCTGCCATTTACTGACCAATTACTATGTGCCAGTACTTTATATCCACCTTAATGCATTGTGCTGAGTCAGTACTTTATATGCACAATCTCATTCCACTCTCACAGTAAAGCTCTGTGAACAATGTAGAGCTGGTGCCTCTTTATTAAAAGGAGGCAATGTTTGGTCAAACTAATCTACAATCACCACTTATACTGTTAAATGCGGGCCTGCTAAATACATCCAGGGAGACATTTACCATGTTTCTAATCAACAGGCCAGCATGACTGATTATTTATGAAGTGCTTCCTTGCTCATTTCTACCTTGAAGCAGCCATACAAAAATGGGAAGACCATCCATTTGGAGGCAGAAACAAGCCAAGTGCCCTAATCTTTATAACAGGAGATGAAAAGGATGCCTACTCATCTGGCAAAACATAGGGTCACTCTCCAATCACAATGCAAAATACCGGAACCTCAGGCATGCAACAGAATGCTCAACTTTGGCTTGATTGCTCTCCAGAACTTGCCAGAAATCTAGCTGAAGCAGCTGATATTTGAGAAAGATATGCCAAATCTACAATCTTCTGAGTTATGTTCTCTTCCTTTACAAAGTGAAATCACCACAAAGCAATTTACCTAGACCACATTAGCTCTGCTACCCACAGAAATACTTTCCAGAGTTGAGATCCATTATTACACCCTCAGCTCCTATTGAGAATCTATATAAAATATTGCCTTTTAAAGAACATTAGCATAATTTACACAAAACAGCAATTGATGGCATTTTCTATTATGATTCTCAACATTCCTTATACAAATATTCCTCTTAGAATTTACTGCCCCCAAAACACTTATGCCTATGGATGAAACTGTATGCTTACTTTATCTGACAACAATCTCATGCCCCACCCGGTTTCCCTTTGTGCCCTGGTTTCCAGGAAGCTCAGTACTAAATTTAGTGCTCAATTGTAGCCACTCTCACACAATTCAACATACACATATCTCTTTCTGCCTGCAGAAGAGAACTTTTTTCCCTGTTAGTTGCTTACTTACTTTTTCCCCTAATGATCAAATAGTACATGGTTATTATAGAAAACACAGAAAGCACAGAAAGATATAAAGCAGCAAAAGATGTAAAGCAGTAAGAAAAATAATTTCAAACGGCTTCTGATCTCTTTTTTAAAATCTGATTTAGCTGTCTGGGCCTGTACCTGTTTTAATGCATACATTTATTGGCATACAATTTATTTCTGGAAGCAGATAAATCCTGGCTGCTCGAGCCTCAGAAGAGGCTGTGCTGCATGCAGTTTCTGTGTAGCAGAGCGAGGAGTGAAAGGAGGCACAGAACACAAAGGCTGGATGTGTTTGGAATAACAGATGCTGGAAACAGAAAGGAGCTTGAGGATCATCTGATCTAATCCCTTCATGTTTCAAATCAAGAGCGCCATTCTCCCCGGGCCAGGCTCCCAGCTGGCCATCCTAGTGCTCACCTAGTGAGCAGCATCACTCATCGGACTGGTCTTAAATGCCAGAACTTTCATTGGGTCACATCGACAAGTGGATAGAGTGGCCGAGCATCGAAAGGCACATGCACCCACCACACTCCCTCTTTGCTACCCTTCTTCTACAGAGAGGGCCAGCTGGGCCAGGCGACTCTGCTCTGCTCTGCAAGTCCTGCGGGCTCTCTCAGCACCCTTGCCTGCATGTCTGGAGCTCCTAGATCCCGTGGTCAGAGAGGGATAGTAAAATCGCAAGATCTGGATTTAAGGGGAGGTAGGAGGTATGCCAGAGCTCTGGTTAGCAGATTAGCAGGTACCAGCCCAGCCTTAAAAATAGAGCAGAACTTTGTTTCCCATGTGGCTTCAGGACCTTGTGCATGTGTCCTCTGCACTCCCACAGGCAGGAGGGGAGGATGGCAGGCTGGATCCAGATGTTCCCAGATGGCTGGCTATCCCCTCATTTAACACACCCAAAGCCCTCTCCAGTATCTAAGAAGGAGGCAGGGCTCTACCCAGCATAGAACACCCACTTCACTAAGAAGGAAGAGAAATGCTCAGTGAAACACTCAAGGAATAGGAAAGATATGGTTGTACTCTTTGAAAATTAAAAATATAAGGTTCTAAAACGATGAATGCTCAAGGAATTTGAGGGCCGATTATTTTTTTAATGTTGAAAAATGTAGGTGACTACAGAGTCAAGTCCAGTAAAGTTGGAAACAGGCTGATTTTCAAATATACCACAGTAATGGGTTGAATTTAAATTATAAATATTAAATGACCCTGACCAGAATCAAAGCGTAGCTTCCTAGAAAAAGCTTCCTTTAGCATTTAGTAAAGCTGGTTGTAAATCACTGGACCACAGAACTTTGAAGGTGGAAAAGATCATAGCTTTTATCCAATCTAACCAATGTTTAAGAATAATCTTAAAAAACAATCTCCTAAAAACACGAATCATAAATTATATGTATACCAGTCAGCAGGAAACTGTATACAGAGTACACGGAAGAGGAATTGGCTGCTTTAAATAGGCATTACAGAAAGGACCTCTGGGTTCAGTTTTTGCTTCATGACATAAACACAAACCCCTAGTCTTGCAAAGTACTTCTAAAAACCTCTGACCCATAAAAATTTTGAAATGGTAATTTCTGAAGCAACCTAACCTCTATTTCCCAAGAATGTTTCCAACCCTCTCTGTCCTGCTCCCTGTGGCATGAGGATGAAAAGACAGGCAGCATGCACAGACTCTGAATAAAACCTCAGAGAAGGGAGAGGGTGGGACGAGTTCCCAACATTCTCTTTGGCCCATGCTGGACGTGCCCTGTGATATTCGGGTGCCTGCTATTCCTTGTTACTTATCAGCTGTACCTTGTTCTGGCGCAGTGGGGAACCTAAGAGAGGTAGTAGACACAGCCCGTGTCCTCAGGAGGATTACAATCTATCTGGGCAGACAGGCATTAGACAACCTAGTGTGACAAGGTGTGTGGCTCAGAGGAGCGCAGGGTTGAAAAAGTCTTCGTGGAGATGGAATACCTGAGCGGAGATTTAACTGATGACCAGGAATTGGAATGGCCGAGAGGTGAATACTCCACTGCTGCAGCCCCACAAACACCTGCAGTGTATGATTTTTTTAAATGATGCCTAGAAAAATGTATACCTATGTTATCTTTGCCGTTGAAAGAAACATTTTTGCAATAATGAAGAAATACAAATTGAACTCCTAATCAAATGACAGTGCTCACCATTTCATTCACCCCAGAACGTGACCTCTTGTGCAAGAATACACACCAATAACACTTAGTCTTTAGTGTGTGTGTGTGTGTGTATGTGGAAAGAGAGGGGAAAGCAAGGATTGGTGGACAGAAAGGCCTAGGGCAGCCACCAGACCAACTAATATTGTCCTTCTTATACAGCTAAAGAAAACATACTTTAAACAACTTCAATACTGAGACAAATTGTGCAGGTTGTACTTTTATCCCGAACACTTTGCATATGTGCTTAATGTCTTTTCCCCTTAACCTCTGTAACGAGTACAGAACTAGCTACCTCTACACGTCTGTGTATTTGTTTGGAATGACTTCAGAGTGCTAAGCCGGGATACAAGTACTCACATGTGGAATGATCTGAGGGAGGAGAGGAAGCCGGCACCCTGGACAAATGCAGCCAGGAAGGCTCTGGTCCCGAGGAATTTCTCTTCCTGAAGGGTGTGGTCTCTTCTCCCATCTCCAAAGCAGGAAGAGAGGATTGGCTCAAAACCGAAGTGGCAGCCACTTGGGTGTGCACAGTCACTTCTTCTGGGAGCCCCGTCCCTCTTACCAGGGAACCCCACGATGTTCCACTCTCGCTGTCCGTGTGAGAAGGGGCTGTTCTTCCTTCTGACCTTGAACGGCTGGATGGCAGGTGCCGCCTTCCCCAGGCTGAAAGCAGACAGCAACAATTAAAATGCCCCCAGCAGACTTCCCAACGTCTGAATAATCTGTTAGTGGGCTCACCTCTGACCTCCATAAAATAGACAGACATGAGAAGAAATTAGGAGCAATTATTCATTCTACGAAAAATTAACTCCTGAATGAGAGACCACAAACCGAGACAAAGAAGATCTTTGTTTTCAGATCTCACAGACAATGCTTTGCATTTTGTGGTAAAATTATCGGAAAAGGGGCAACATGAAAGTAAGTATCAGACGATATGGAATCAGAGACCGGCTTCTGATCATGATGAGTCATTACTCACATTCCACACAGTTGGTCCCAGAATTTACTTGAATTCAACATAAACAAAATTTCTAATATTTGGATGACCAACAACCCCAGGCAGCAGCACGTGCAGTTTCTAAGCTCTATATCCACAATTCATGAGTGAAACATAAAATATTTTCATACATGCTCTTTACAGAATTGAGTCTCCCAACCAGACCTCCTGTCACAAGGGTGTGAAACCATGGGGGCATCTTTGGTGGCTTCATCCTCTACTTTTAGGCCAGTACCAAGTCCTATCAATTTTCCTTTGTGAACAGTCTTTACCAATTCCTTCCTCTCCATCCCTGAGGCCACCAGGCCATATCTTAGCACCTGGTGTCTGGATTTCTGTGTCTTCTGGGTGGTCCCCCGACTCCAGGTTCCCTCTGCCCTATATCCCACCCATATATCTTATATCTGTCTGTCAGGTGAATCCTCCCCAGATTCGCTTTAATCACGTCACCTCCTTGTTCAAAAACCTTCAGTGACTCTGCCCACCACAGCAAATCTAAACTACCTGCTTTTCCAAGTCCTCCATGATTGTCCATAACCCCATCCACACAGCTGTCCTACTCGCTGCTCCTCTCCGCTGTGTGCGACTTACACCCTCCTCCAGGGGAGGCTGCTGGCCTTGCCACCCCACAAAGAGCCCACGCTTCTCTTCTCTCCTCTGTCTCTTCACTCACACGGTCCAGGCATCCCATTCCTCAGTCACCCCTTCCGCCTCACTCAGATACATAGACTTAGACCCAAATCCCAGCTCTGAAACCTGTTAGCTGTTTGATCTACACACATTGGATAAATTAACTTCTCTGAGCTCTAGTTTCCAAATTCCTAAAATGAGAATAATAGGACTGCACTGGCTTGCTGTGAGAAATGAGAGACTAGACAAGCTGGTATGCAGTAGGTACCTGATCAGTGCTAGTTTTCTCTGTCTTTCCTTCCTCAGTAAATGCTACTCATCCAGCCCCAGCCCCTTCTTGAAATCCTTTGCTAAAAATGGCAAACCACCAAGCTGTGCAGACTGGAGCAAGAACACCATGTGAGCCTTGTCCACACAAACACTCAGTCATGCATCCCACCAGACCTGGGACCTCTGAGACTGCAGGTGTGGCAGGATCAATGGACGACATATGGATGCAGTCTGGCCATGGAATGTAGATTCCACGGGACTGGTCAGGCCTCTCAGCAAATCTGCACCCTCGCCTGGTCTGTACTTACAACTCAGTTAACCACAGCATGCCTAAGCCACAGGTCTCATGGCTCAGCCCAGGACCCTCGGATGGGCACCACGACTCAGGATCGGGGTGGGGAGGAGAGACTGGCAGAAATTTTGTTTTCCAGGAGTGGACATGCATGAATGAAATGAGCATCATCAGCACAGCCTCACCTACGGTGCTGCTGTGGGAAGTCAGAGCTGTTGCTGTCTCAGGCCCAACAGAGGAAATGGGGAAATCTGTTCTCCTTGAAGGGTTGTTTCTTCCTTCAGCATGTGCTGCTGCAGTTTGTAGAGTAGAGTTTTCTGGAGCATCTGAAGAAGCGTGGCTCTTTCTGGGGGTCTGAGCCTTCACGCCCTCTTTGGAGGCCACTGTTGAAAAGTCCACTTGATTGTGATTAACGGTGACGTTTTCTATGTGGAGTTCAGTGTCACTTTCTGGCCTACGGTCCCTTACAGTAGCTGAAACAATCAGAAAATGGATCAGTGAGAACTTGCTGGCTTCTGAAAAGAGAAGTAAATCCTTAGAAAAGACACCATGAGCAGACAGATCAGTAAAGAAGGCGATTCAAGAATAATTTCACCTTTCTTTTTTTCCCCATAGTAATTACTCTTGCAATCCAGTGAATGAAATTATGAGTCAACTATACGACGTAAGATTAAATTTTACAGTCAGTGGAATAAATGATGAAAATTGAAAGAAAGAGATGAGGGCCGGCCCCGTGGCTTAGCAGTTAAGTGCACATGCTCCGCTGCTGGCGACCCGGGTTCGGATCCCGGGCGCGCACTGACGCACCACTTGTCCGGCCATGCTGAGGCCGCGTCCCACATGCAGCAACTAGAAGGCTGTGCAACTATGACACACAACTATCTACTGGGGCTTTGGGGGAAAAAAATAAATAAATTAAAATTAAAAAAAAAAAAAAGAAAGAGAGGAACGTGCGGCTCAGGGAAGAGCACCTGAACCTCAGGTGTCTGGGCAGGCTCAGAGAGGGGTGTGGAAGGCAGAGGTCAGGTGTGAGCAGAGGGAAGAAAGCACTTCATAAGCACCAAGGCTGTGACCTGTGCCTCCTGGGTGGCAGGAGGGTAAAAGCTGGCAGCTCTTAATCCTGACAGCTCTCCTGTAGGCAGGAGGTAGGACATGCATGATTCTGGAAAAACATGTGAAGGATTTGGCAATATTACCAAAACCTCAGTAATGTAAATAGGTTTGATGCAGTTTTTGTTTTCTTTGAATTTATCCTAAGGAAATACTCAAGAATGTAGACAAAGATTTAGCTGCATAGATGTTCACTACATCATTGTTTACAATAGCAAAAAAGAATGGGAGGGAGGAAGGGAGGAGGAAAGAAAGGAGGGAAAGAAGGAAACTAAAAATCCTACAGCAGGAGATCAATTAAACCAGTTACAGTATATCCACATGAAAGGATACCATGTTGTCATTAAAATGATGTTATAAAATAAAGATATTCTACAAGTATTACTGAGTTAAAATGACAGGCTTCAAAATAGATTTTAGGGTATGATCTCATTTAGTTAAAAAATAATAATAACAGCAATCAGGTATGTGCATGTGTGCGAGACACTGATGTAAGCGCTCGACATATACTCTTTTCACATAATCCTTGCACAAAGTCAGGGGTAGGTGCTCTTATTCTCCCCATTTTTTGCAGGGAGGCAGAGGAAGCTCAGGAAGGTCATGTTTCTTGCCCAGGTCACCAGGCAGCGTCTCCAACCCCAACCCCTCAGCTCTCAGCTGTGCTCAGCTGGAAGGATCAAGTGCTAGAGAGGAGTGTTAGAGCAAATCCTCCTGCTCTCCCTTATGTCCAGCTCAGGGGTGCTGAGGAAATGTTGCTTATTAGTAGCATGAACTATTACTTGAAGCTTACAAATTAGGAATGTACTCATATTAGTCAGAAAACATATTTAAACGATCATTTACTTCCATATCGCCCAAGGTGACGGCAAAGAGAGCATTAGCTGAAAACGCTGTCAGGATGAAGTTACAGTTGGGGTAAACTGGGCACAGAGGAAATCATCTATAGTGTCAAGTGTCATTTGTCAAAGCAGGGGGTTCAGAGTCAGAGCAGGTGGGTGGTATGCCCAAGTCCAACCCGAGAAAGCTGCCCGGGTACCCTGGAGGAGTCTGCACATGGCACGGCCACAGCCTGGAAGCCAGAGCTGGGCCACGGCTGCGGGTGCCGGGCCCCTGAAAGATAACACCAAAATCCAAACAGCAGTCTAAGAGCTGTTTCCCTGAACATCCAGACTAATGTGGAAGTGAACATGGAAGACATGTACTAACTGAGTTTCATGAGTTTCTAGAGTGAGCAACGATGAGGACGAGGGCCACTGGAAGTTATTACTGATTACATGGCTCCTTGAGAAACCATTTTCATTTTCCCCACTTGGGAATATTTTTCTTTCTACTTAGGATCGGGAGCTGTGGGCACTGTTGAGAAACCTCTGTGAGGATGAGTGAAGTCACTTCTTTCTATATGAGTCAGGCAAAAATGGCCCAACCACCTGACCAGTACAGGCTGCTGGCAGAACCTACAGTTTGGCTTAAAATATCACACACACACACACACACACACACACTCCCAAAAGGAACAAGCTATCCTCCAGATCAGCACTGTCCAAGAGATATATAAAGTGAGCCACAACTGCAAGACATATATGTAACTTTAAATTTTCTAGTAGCCATATTTTAAAAAGGAACAAGTGAAATTAATTTTAATAAACACTTTGTTTAATCTGATATATCCAAAATAGTACTACTGCAAAATGTAATCAATAGGAAAAACTACTGAGATATTTTGCATTCTTTTTCTGGTATTAAAATCCAATAAGTATTTTACTAGCCACATTTCAAGAGCTCAATGGCACCATGTAGCTAGCGGCTACCATACTGGACAGTGCAGCTCTAGATCAATGGTTCTCAACATTTTGCCACTCTGGTCCACTCCTACCAGAAGCAGTGGGGTTGGAGGGGTGGTGATTATTAAAAACTTCCACAAGAGATTCTGACAAACTTTCCTAAGGGAATCATTTCCTCTCAAAGTCTCTTGAGAATTACTGTTTTCATGCTTCCTATTCTGTTTCCTGTAAGTGATAATTAACAGAAGCTTCCTGAAGGGGGAGGGAAGTTGTCCAGGCATCTGGGTTCCTCTGAGGCCCAGCCCTAGACAGGCAAGGCCTACACTCAGCTGGAAATGGGATGTAGAGGGGCGTTTCCAGGGGCAGCTGCCAAGTCCATAATTTGAACTTAAGACTCCAGGGTTATGAACAGCAGTGACCCATATGGCACGCTCCCTTTGTTCTTCCTACCTGAGCCACCAATGTAAGTTGGCCACCAGAGAGCAGATGAAAGGGTTTGAGGATGCTTTCTCTATCCTCTTGGTCAACCGGGCACAATGGAAAATAATTATTCTCAAAAGGAGTCAGAAATAAGTGATGGTGGGGAGGCAGAAGGGACTCAAAACCCATGCCCCAAAGCTGGCAAGCCATGAGCAAACGGAAGAAAATGAAGTTAGCTCTATTAAGTCTTAAGACAAGTGTGAGACTTGGCCATTGGTGAGTTTGGCTGGGCCTCTGAGGAAGCAGCAATGTCCCCTTCTTCAGAGAACAAGGAGTGAAAGTCTCAGATCCCAGTCAGCTCAAGGAATTCCACTGCAGTCTCCAAAAGGAAAAGAATAACCACATGAAGACAGGACGTGGCTAAAAGTGAACCATACTCTCTCCCTGGAGGAGTGACTAAAGATGGAAGCAGGAAAAAATGCACACTATAAACAAAACTAAAAGGCAGACAATAGTCCTGCAGTATTCCAAATAGCTCTGCCACTAAAAACAACTAAAAATGCTGAATAAAATATTTTTTAAAAAATATTTCTAAATGCATTGCTGAGTTGGCAAATAAGTAAAGAACCAAAACTTCTGAGGCCAAAAATGAACCAAGAGCTGGAATTCAGAGAGGTGAGCTAACTCTGAAGTTGGCAGCTGCCCTGGGGCATCTGTTCAACATTTGTGACCTGAACTTCTGTTCTGATGGCCACAGGGTGCAGGAGATAGGAGACAAAATTCTCAGGAAGGGAGTCTGAAAGGAAACTCCTGTATAAAGCTGGGACCCCAAAGGTCTGTACCTTGGGTGTAAGGCAAATAGAAACACGTATGCCCTTCAGAAGCAGACAGCAAGGAAAGCTGGCCCTTCAATCTTGGTTTTAGGTGAAAGAAAAACAAATCTCACTCAAGAATTTGTAACTATAAAGCTAGCCCTCATGTGGGTGTGCAGCACAAATTCACATTACCTGCGTGGTCTAAACTTCAAGCTGAGAATATGTTTAAAAGTGGTTCTGAATCTTGTGAATATACTAAAAACTACTGAATTATACACTTTAAACAGGTGAGTTTTAAGGTATATAAATTATATCTCAAATACACATACACATATACTGTTAATGGGGAGGAAAAAGTGGCCCTGATATATAGTGCCTCCAGGTACTTGGCAGAAATAAATGCAAATGCTCTCTAGATGAATGTACCTTCAACCCAATTTTATCATTTACTGAAAAAATTCTAAAGAATAAGAGATTACAGTCAAAAATCACAAAATATACAAGGAAATAAGACAGCCATAAGCAAAAGTCAGCAAACTAGACAAGCGAAGACTTCAAACACTAAAATTATCAGACACAGAATGTAAGTATATAAAACTACATGAAAAGAAATAAGAATAAATTGAAAATGAGAGAAAAAGAGACTACACATAATGACCAAAAAGATTTGAAAGAAATCTAAGTGGAATTCTAGAAATGAAAAAATAATAATAATTGAAATTAGGAAACTCAACAGCATATTAGATATGGCTGAAAAGAGAATTAAGAATTAGAAGACAGACGACAAGGGAATGCCCAGATGAAACGAAAAGACAGAGAATATGAAAAATAGGTGAAAAAACAAGGAAGACAGAGTGAGAAGGTCCAATGTATATCTAACTGGAGTTCTAGGAGGAAAAGAAAGGAAAAGGAGAGAAATGGCAATATTCAAAAAGGTAATTAATGGCTAAGAATTTTCCATAACTGATGAAAAGTATGAATCCTCAGACCAACAAATCTTTAGGAGGCTAAATAAAAAAGAAATATAACTCATATCATAGTGAAACTGCAGAAAAGCAGACAAAAACTAGGTCTTAAAAACAACCAGAGGAAAAAAATGACAAATCATCTACCAAAGATGACAATTAGACCAACAGCTGATTTATCAGTGGCAACAATGGAAGCCAAAAGGCAGTGGATAAAAACTGTCAATGTGCTGAGAGAGAAAAAACTGGAATGGTATACTCTGCAAAACTCTTTCAAAAACATCTTGAGATTATCTTTCAAAATAGAAACATTTTCAGTCAAATTTTAGTTGACTAACCACCTCCACTAAAGGAAATTATGGAGAATTTATTTCAAGTAGAA